TACGTCCTCCTACATGCTCTGTAATCATAATGTTTTGCACATGCTTTACCACATTCTGTTGTAGTTATCTATTTATAAGTTGATCTAAATGTTTTTGAATTCCCCTTCCTCTCCTCTTCAACCCTATAAATATTAAGTGAAGCCTACCACGTCTCTTCCATGCTGTTAACTTCCACATTCCCTAACTGCCATCTTGTCTTTAGCCTCTCATTCCAATATCTTTCTCAATGTCATCTGGGTAATCTCTTCAAAACAGCAAACCTGTTCATATCACTCAGCTCAGAAAATTCTCCACTTATAATGCTACAAAAATAAAATCTTTCCTGTCTACCTTCTTACACATCAGGCCCTAAGATACTGTCTCTTCCCCAAGTATACCATGTTCTTTAATAATTTCAAACCACTGTACATATTTCCTCTTTCTAGAGGGCTCTTCCACTTCTTTATCTGGTAAATTGTTAGTCATCTTTCAAAACCTGGCTTATATGTCCTCTCTTCTGTGCATTCTTTCTTCTACACTTGAATTGAGATCTCCCACAGAACAGAACAGGAACGGTATTATTTAATTATCCATTTCCAGGGCCAACAACAGGGCTAAACAAACAGTAAATTTTCAATAAACCACACCATAAAGTTGATTCCAAATCACAGCAACTCTACAGGACAAAGTAGAACTCCTCCATAGGATTTTCTGAGGCTGCAAATCTTCACAGAAGACTGCTTCTTTCTCCCAAGGAGCAGATGATGGGTTTGAACCACCCACCTTTCAGTTAGCAGTCTAATGCTTAACCCACTGTGCCCCCAGGACTCCTTAACTATCTGACAGATATACAATAAGTGAATGAATCAATGAGTCAATGGAAAGAAGGAAGGAGGACAATAAAATGTTGGTTTTCAAGTGATGGAGAAGAATATTAAAAGTACCACGGAGCACTAGAAGAACAAACAAATCTTGTGTTCAAAGAAATACAGCCAGAATGTTCCTTAGAATCCAGGATGGCCAGACTTTGTCTCTCATACTTCAGACCCTGGAAAAGGACATTATTCTTCATAAAGTGGGTCAGCAAAAAGAGGAAGACCCCAGTGAGATGGATTGGCACAGTGGCAGCAGCAATGGGCTCAAGCTTAACAACGATTGTAAGGATGGTGCCGGACTGGGCAGTTTCATTTTGTTGTGCGTAAGGTCACTATGAATTGGAACTGACTTGAAGGCACCTAACAACAACAATGTAGTCCAGGGAAATAACTCCCTTTCTATTCAAGACCATTATAATACATTTATTGCATTACCATGCCCAGTTTGTCATGAGTCTCTGTATTCATGCATTTTGGGTAGTGTCCTTCATAGTGACTCCATCATATAACTTGCTTTTGTTGTGTGAGTTGGTTGGCCAAGCAATAGCAAATGTGACACAAGCAGAGGGTGGAAAAGTAGTTGCAGGTGTCTACAATGATTGGGTCTTCTCTTTCTTGCCCACCACTACTGTCATGAGAACAAGTCAGGGCTAGCCTGTTGGAATAATACAAAAGACAGAGAGTAAGAACCTAGTCATTCCAGCCAGTCAGCTGCCTAGCCAACCAATCACTAACTGCAGATATCATCTGCAGATGTCATACTTCCTTCTGAGTAAGCCCAGCAAAGATCAGCAAAACTGCTTTGTAGATCTGTAGACCTGTAAGCAACAATAAAAAAGTTGTTTTCCTTGAGAGAATGAGTTGCCTGTGGACTCTCATCACAGTCTAGGGGGACATCGTGGTCAACTGGCATAACATAGTCCACAAGGAAAATATTCTACATTTTACTTTGATGAGTAGTAACTGGGATCTTAAAAGCTCAGGAGTGTGTCTGGTAAATAGTTAAGAATAAAAGAATATGAGATCATTTTTATGACATAAACTTTTTTTTTTACATTTAATCACATAGGACTTTTTTTTTTTTTAAGTTTAAAAATGCATAGAGAATGAATATTAAAACTCAGTGAAAGTGGTTGTGGGGGTGGTGTGCTGTCAAGCACACTCATAGCAGTTCCAACTCATAGCAACCCTATATAGGGTTTCTGTGGCTGTAAATCTTTTCAGGAACAGAAAGTCTCATCTTTCTCCCACGGAGCAGCTGGTAGATTCAAACTGCTGAACTTCTGGTTAGCATCCATCAACAGTCCAACTACAGTACCAGAGAACCTTCAGAAAAAGTAAAAGGTGTAACAAATATATAAAAACTAAGAAATAGAGTAACAAATAAATGGAATGTGGATGAATTCAAATAATGCATGAGACATTGAAATAAAATTAGGAAAATAGAGAAAGACTTCATCAAGAAACTCAATCATTGAAAGAGGCAAGAGCAAGTGACTTAGATTATCTTGAAAGTCATAAAAATCAAAGTGAACAGCAAAATCCTAAAACTCAAGGTGAGAGTATACTATTTTAGTTTCATCACTATTGGTATTCAATGGAAGAAATTAATAACTGAATGTACCAGGCAAGTGGCATGGTTACTCCTTTGAAATAAAATGTTCTACATGGCTAAGAAGTTGGGGGTCGGGGGTAAGTTCATGAGCAGCTATGTTAGGTACAACTATTGGCCTCTTCCTGTCCAGAGGAAAGAACAGTGATGAAAATTCAAGTTGCTTGGAAACAATTGATCCAATGGACTAATGGGCCATGTGAACATCACTCTCCATGACTCTGAGACTAGAAGAATTAGATGGTGCTTAGCCAACCATTATCAACTGCTCTGAAAGGAATCACATTAGAAGGTCCTGGATAGAATGGGAGAAAATATGGAACAAAACACAAAATCATAAAAAGAACAGATAGAGACTGGTGGAACCTTTGATACTATGATAGATACTATGATCCTTGACCATCGTTCAGGGCTGGAACTGAACTCACCCTCATTGTATGATTACATGCTCACCTCCATAATTGGTCTGTTAAATCCTTGAGGACAGACACCATTACTTATTCATCTCTCTATAGCCAGGGCTCCTAGCTTAGAACCTGACATCTTGCAAACATTCAACAAATGCCCATTCAACTCAAATTATCACAAATTTATGATGAGCTTTGCTATACCTCTCTCAGAAACAGAGTTTTCCTGCTGACCTCTGATTTCCCTTAGGTTATATCACATACAGTCTATATGAAAGGAGCCTAGGAGAAAATATCTCTGTCTTGATATCAGGCTAACCTAATTCACTTGCTGTCTCTGATCTCCTAGACACAGTATCATGGATCCAGAACTCTGGTTCCCATTCTCGCCATCCTAAGCGGATTGTTCAAGATTAGCATCCTGGCCTACTTTAAACTGAAAATTCTAGTGACCCCTTTCAGATATGCCAAGCCCTATTTTGATACAGAACATGTTAACAGACATCTTAGAAGACTAAGATAAATCTTCTGAGTAAATGCTCTGGCTGGTGTATATGAATAGGGGTAAAAACTGATAATGGGCAGTTTAATACGGTTACTTCTCATCTTTCAAGACTCAGCTCCAGAATCACCTTTTCCATAAAGCTTCTTGACTTCCAGTAGAAATACTCCTTGTCACTTCATGCCCCTCACTGAACAATGGACAGATTTACATGATGCCTACAATATTTACTATATCTAATGACCATTTACATATTTGTTGATACTAATATCTCCATTTAGGAAACCACCAGCTGTTCCATGGGAGAAAGATGAGGCTTTCTACTCCCATAAAGATTTACAGAAACCCTATACGGGGTCGCTATGAGTCGGAGCCAACTCCACAGCACATAACCACCACCACCACCACCAAAGCAGGGACCTTGTCATTTACACTGGCACACAGTAGATGCCCAATAAATGTTAGTGAATGAAAGAAAGATCATTGTTCAGTATAGAAGGTGGACCTCACATAAAGGGCACAGTCACTGATGCATTATTAATTCAAACCCTACCAGTGAATGGTAAGCAAATTGTATCCTGGGAACGAACAACCAAAAAAAAACTAGTAAAGAAAGTAAGAACACTTTTTTCCCACATTGCTCTCTTTCATATTTTCTTAAAGACCCAACTGTAATAAGACGTCAGCTTGGGCATTCACCAAGCCAAATGACAGACAGGGAAATGTTGTATTGCCTTTGAGCCTGCCTGACTGCTGCTTCTCTGGACTGGTTCTTGGCTCTGCTACTGTCACCCTTAACTGATGCCAACAATTCCCAAAGGACAGAAAATGGGCACTGACAGCCTGTTTGGTCAAGGCTTATTTTCTAAGCAATCTCACTAAGTTTATTCCTCCTGAGTTCACTTAAAATAAGAAAACTAAGGGTTGGATAATCTATCTTACACATCTCTGGGGCTAAAGTACCTAATTTTCTCAGCCAGTCACAGGCTGAAGAGACTACTCTGCCTTAGGCCTACTTGTGTCTCTCTTGCACCAGCACAAGCCTATTTAGTTCTCTTGATTGTCCTAGGACACAAAGATGTTCAACAATCAGTTTGTACACTGTGTGTCTAGGCTGATAGCAGGGAACAGCTAAATGGCATTCCGCTGCTTTTGGGTTTCCTGCTATCCTTGAATATAGCTTTCACATTTTAGCTTTGATACTCTTGTCTGGGTTCTTTCCTCCACCCAGACTTCCCACTCTTGCTAGGTTCATTGAATACAGCCCCGCACATCACTAAAGGCAAAAGTCACATGACACTTCTGTAAGATACTGTCTCTATCCCTCCTTTGGGCCCCAGAAGCACTAGGTGCCTCTCTAGAACATTTATTTTATCCCTTTAGGGCAGGATATGATTCATCCAAGTCTCCCTATAGGGTCCAGCACAGCACTGGCAGACTAAATCGTTTCTGAATAAATGGATGTTGATGTCTGAGTGGACAAAATAGAAGTTCAGCCCATATCTCAACATCAGTAGACATAGTGGAGGTACTGCTTTGCAGGTGTGTTTAGAAGACCCCTGGGACCTCGGCACAGTCTTGGGATCCATGGCACAGCAACAGCCCTTCTCTCCACAGGACTCACAGAGAGGAGGCCCAAAAAGCACCGTGTCCAGGGCTTTCAGCTGAAGCTTCTGCCGATGGCTCCGGTCTGTCATCTTCAGAACAGTCCCTGTCATGGTGGTATTGGTCACAGCTAGCCTGTTGAGGCAAAGAGTAAGGGATAAGTTCACTGCCTGCAAAGATAGAAAAGATCCCACAGGACCCCCAACTCTTCATGACTTCTAACTCTTGGAGCCTGCTCCCCTATACATTTGAAAACAAAGAATTTATACCAGTGGGTCTTAATGAGGAGTAGGCAGGGACACATTACCAAGGATTTTCTCACCTTCTTTCTCCATATCCACTATTTCCTAAGTAAGCTACCCTCTAGGAATTATCCATAGATAACTATTCCCACAGTCAAGTGTAAATTTTCAGTTATACCTCTCCTTTCAGGGAGATATAGAGGTATATCCACTATGCATCTGTCCCCATACTCCCATCACTGGTAAGTTGATTTTTCTGTGCAGTTCACCTCAAAACCTTAAACCATGTCACCCAGTAATTCTGGGGACCTCTGAATTATCCTAATCCTAGCCCACCGTACATTATATATAAACCTGCTGATAACAAAAATTACATTAGTCTTGTTAGGTTATATTTGAGTCATTGAAATATAATTTACTCCCAACCGGATGAGTGTAACTTTTTATGACCTTCAAACATACTCTCAATGATAACTCTAATAATAGAGAGACTGTAAACACGAAAATGACCTGGGGAAAACTGGCATTCATTTCTCTTCTGCTGGAACACAGTGGGTATAAGAGGAGATGGGTGTAAGATATGAAAGGTTGACAACCACTTGTCTGGGGCCCACGAGTGAGGACTTAACACTATACTACCCTGTAAGGATGGCACTCTTTCTGATGCGTAGCTGTACTTCCTGGCTAGAAAAGATGTTTCTGACATCACTGTGTGATTTACGTTTCTGCATGTGCATGCAGGAGGAACTAGTTCTTTCTCTGGTTTTGGAAAGCAAGCCAGCCTACCCATAAGAGGCACAGTAAGAGACTTTGATGAGGTGGGGGGTAGGGAGAGAGATAGATGTGGGTTCTGATCCAAGTTCTACCAATACCTCACTTCTCTGGTCCTTAGCTGCTCTGCCCCATTCCCTGTGTTCTCAGTTTCCTTCTGTGAAAGCAGCTGCTGTGGAGTGGATTCTCACTCATGTTGACACCATGTGTGTCAAAGTAGAACCATGCTCCATAGCGTTTTAAATGGCTGATTTTTCAGACCTAGATCACCAGGCTTTTCTTCCAGGCTGACTATGGGTAGATTCAAACCTCCACCCTTCCAGATAGGAGCTGAGTGAGTTAAACACTGGCACCGCCCAGGACTCTTCCTTCTGTGTAAACTGAGCATTCTTGAGGCCCTTCTTTAAAGCGCATCTACCAAGTATATGGGACTTCATCTAGCTGATCAAAATAAACTTTGTCATCTTATCTACAGTCTACTTCTTCTCAAAGAAACTTAAGAGCTAGAGGGCTAGCAACATCTAAGCAATCACAGATATGAAGAAGCTAAGATTTACTAAGTAATGCCTATGTATCTGGCACTGTTCCAAAACAATACAATACTTCACTTAATTCTCACAACAATCTTAATAGAGTTCAGTTCTAGTATTAGCTATGTTTTATAGATAAGAAAACTGACACTCAGAGTTGCATACCTTATATCTTGTGACTTACCCAAAGTCACAAAGCAAGTCAGGGAACAAACTCAAATCTAGACTCTTGTCATTATACTATGCTACCTAGCAATGGGCCTAGAACCATCACCACCCTATGTAATGAAGGCTCTATACTTTCTGATGTCACCAAGGTACCACAGCTTGGCATCCTCTACCTCTGTGCTCAGCATGGCTGGACCTGAGCCTGGTCTTAGGTCTAATCGTAGTCACAGGAGCGCTAAGAGAGACCATGGCTTAGGAACTGACTTCTTATCCTTTATTTCCTAGTTTTAATGCAATTCATAGCTACTCCCCAATATGGAATGATCCACAAAATCACAAGGCAGGACTACTATTTCTATGGGTAACCTAGCCTTATGTAGTGAGAAAAGAAATCTGAATTCTAAATCTTTATGGTTTATCATCTATTTTGTCAATCTAGGTCTTAAAAACCTGGAGTTTCTCAAGGCATTGGTCGAGTCTAATGCATCTCTGTCCTCAGGACCCAGTAGAGTGTATGGCAGTTGATAGGTGCTCAGTAAAGTTTTGATAACTAGAACCTAACAGATATCGTCAGGGAGCCTATCTTCCACCACACGGGGCAAGAATAAGATGCAGTGAACAAAATCAGGACACTTAGAGCCAGGCAGACCTAGGTTCAGTTGCCAGCTCTGCCACTTACCAGCTTGGAAATAATAAAATAATTGAGGTCTAGTTTGCTCACCTAAAAATTAAGTTAGTAATTCCTTCCTCCTAGAATTGTTGTAAGAATCAACTGAAATAACAGGCAGAAATGCACTCTAGAATGCGATGTACAAACATTAAGATTATTACTCTCTCCAAAGTAGGGAGAAAGTATGAAGAAGAAGCTACATGTAGCAGAAGAGAGAACAGCCAGCCCAGTTAAGGCCTCAACAGCAGCGCCTGGTAGCTCTGGGACTGGAGACTGCAATGTGTGGGCATTCTAACAGCTTCCCCTTCCCACTTTGTTGAAAATCATAACCAAATACACCTACCTAATAAGATGACAGATAATACACAATCAGCACTTACCAGACAGTAAGCCCTTTGAAGACAAGAGCAGGTAGCTGTCATCTTTATCCCTAACACCCTGCACAAAAGTGCTTGGCACAGAGCAGGTGCCCAGGTAATATTTGTGGATTGAATAAGTAAATGGATTAATGACTGAATGACAGATGTCACTTGTCTGATATAACAAGCAGTACTCCATCCCCTTCACACTCCCATTCCAAGCTATAGAATATTGTGGTTGTAAAAGAAGCAAAAAAATTGTGAGACAACAGTTGTTGGAGGAGTGACCCAGAGTGGAGACTGGGTCAATGTAGTTAGTTTCATCTCCACACTATTTCAGTTTGAGAAAACAAACTGCACAGGAAGGCTAAAAGGACCCCAAGCTCCTGGGCTTTCAAAGAAGCAGCTTCTAGGGGACGGAAGAAGAAGACAGACAGACCACAGGCTTTGACGTCTAGCCAAATCTAAGTTCAAATCGTAATTTTTTTATCCTAACCTGCCATGAAACCTTGAATAAGTTCCTTAAACAGTTTCATCATCTGCAAAATGAGGAGAATAATAATACCTACCTTGCATGATAGATGTAAAAATTAAATGAGATACAACATATTAAATGGTATCTCGTAGTATTGAGCCACTGCTATTCATAAAGTTTTCAGTGCTCACCATTCAGAAGTGGTCCATCTCTCCTTCTTCCTAGTCTGAAACCTGTCCATCATGGGGACAATGCCAGTATCTAAAATACCAGTGCATAGCTTCCAGCATTATAGTAACACACAAACCACCACAGTATGACAAATATAATAGCAATTGTGAAGATGGCCCAGGACTGGGCAGGTTTTTGTTCTGTTATGCAGACAGCCACTCTGAGTCGGAACCGACTTGATGGTACCCTAACAACAACAACAACTTAGTATATTCCCAAGACTGATAAAAATATTAAATAGGAGACTGGATACAAAATGCTCATCATGTTCTATACAAGCACATAATAAATGTGAGAAGAGGAGATTCTACCATGAGAAGGGAGGGACCTCACTTAACTTGGTCAGAGCTTATGATGGTAGGCCCACCTCAGTCCATTCTGAAGTCCCACAAGTGCGAGAAACCTAGTACCCTCCTGACCTGGGCATGGCATGGCCACCAAGCTGCAGCTTCCGGAAGGTCTCCTCATACTGAGGCAGCTCCACATATGTGATCAACCACTGTACCACTTCTTCCACGGTCCAGTTATACACTGTGGGGAGAGACAAGCAAAGATATAACTCTAGAATGTCATGCACTGCTTGCATTTTTTTTGTAACAGTCATATTAACCTTAATATTTAACAAATGTTTATGTGTTTGATAGCTCTCTCCTAAATACAAAGAGTGCATACTGTATGTGTCTTATTTATAGGAATATTTATATCTAAAGTGATAGAAAGAAAATCTATTTTTTACAAGAACCAGGAGTGGGAGCTAAAATTTGACTGGGAAAGAACACAAATAAACCTTCTGGGGTGATGGAAATGTTCTATATGTTGAATGTGGGGATGATTATAAAGATGATATGTTTGTCAAAATTTATAAAACTGTATGTTTTGTACATAAATTAGACTTCAAAAAGTTGTTTGACAAGACAGATGGGAGAACAATTAGGCAGGTTTGCATGGGCTAAGTGGGACAGAGGTAAATAAAGATGTATGTACAACCTTGGAAAAACAGGGCTCTGGGATACAGAGATTGAGACATGGTTGGAATGGGCAAAAGGGGGGAAATAATGTCAAGATGCTTATCTGTCTTTTGAATCTTGGTTTCCCTTGCATACAATTATAAAATAGACACTTAAGGGGAAGAGAAAGGAATAGCCAGAAATATCACTATAGAAAGCTTGTAAATCCGTCTTCTGCCTATAACTGATTGGAATACCTAAAATGGGGCTACAACTTGCCCAGTGAAGGAGGCTTCCTGTGGAGCCTCTGCATTACATAAGACCATAAGTGGAGTCCTGAACAGCATCTAGAATCTTCTAAGGTGGGAACTCTCCACTTGAAAGGACAAGCAGATCAGCCTGGAGCGGCTAGAAGAACAGAAGATACTTCTTGAAAGAAAGACCGACAGGAAAAATACAAAACAATAACGACAGTCTGACTGACTACTACAAGAACAAGCAAGTTGCTAGCCCAGAAGACATCAAGGCAAGTGGTGGGGTCCCCTCAGGGCAAACCCCCTTCCAAGACTAAGATTCAGTGGGAATACATGAGCAGACATGCACTCTAACTGGTGACCACGTTGGTCACCAACAAGGGGAAATAAGGAAAAAACAGCAATGAAGCTGCATGCTAAGCCCTACCATGTTCAATAGACTCCTGTGAACCTGGGTGGTTGGCCAGCAGTATAACAAGACCTGGGGACTCCTAGGCCCAGAGTCAGTGACATAGCCATATAGAACTAGAGTAGAGAGTGAAGCGTCCAGTTGATAAGAAGAGAGGGCATATGCACAAGAATACCCACACTTGTGGATAATACCCACTTGACCTGGCTTCAATGGCTGGATGATCAGAACTCAACTAGAAGAAGAAAGAAGAGGAAAAAAAGAGTAATCTGATACAATTTGATGAACTTCACCTACACCTATGGATGCAATAGCTCAAAATAGGGAATAAATTTTTATGGTAAGGATCATTCCCACCCCCTTGATACACAGGGTAGACAGGGATGGGTGGGCAACTTGGACATTGGCTACCCAAAATGGGGGGGGATACAAAGGCAAGAAGTGACTGCCTTACAAGCTTTCAAGAGGGAACCTAGATCCAGAGGGTGTGGAGGAAGGTAGAATCTCCACTGAGTAGTATCTAATCTGTCTGATGAAAAGAGATGGGGAAGGAGAACAAACAAGATGGCGGACCGGGTGGACGTGTAGTAAAGAGCTCCGCCAGCAACAACAAAGAATACCCAACCAAGCAGGCTCAGGGGATGGTCCCAGAACTCTAAACCACATACAAAGGAATATTTAGAAGGTTGAAAGGCTCACAGCTGGGGGAATTTGTGGCAGAAGCAAGAAATCTATTGCTTTCTAGTCGGGGATGTTCAGCTGCTCCAGGAGCCGCCATCTTGGGTGAGACCATGTGGGGGAAAGATCGGAGCGGCCACAGACGCCTGGCAGAACCGCTGAGATAAAGGTGTGGACATTCTTTTCTTTTGGTATCTGTTCATTGGTCCCTTGCTGTCTGCACACCTCCATTCT